ATCAAGTTCTTGACGAATTAGAGCATGTTCTAATTTTCGTCAATTTCTTCGTGAAGTTCGGAAGTACCAACCCAACAGATTTCCACCCTCAGATCAGTAATGAGGTTATGTTATTGGAATATGTAAATAATTGTGTGGCGTCGTGCTAGTCTTGCATTGTTTTTACTGATTTGTTACTTACAAAAACTAATATTTATATAATATGTGTCAAAACGGTACCGCTGTTGTATCACAACAATTATGAGTGGAACGGTGACATATTTTAAATTTATTTGCTTCTTTGATTTATTGGTAGAACTGATTCATACGTCAAAAAACTTATTATTTTCTTGGAGTTCTATCTTACGGACTATAACAGTGGAAAATCGGAGAGGAACTGACGAATGACTTTAACGGAATAATTGTTACGTCTTTTTGGTATTTTAAGATTTTAAATCTTTTGGCTTAATAATCAAGAAAATATCAGGAGCAAGTGGATTGATTGGCTGTCCCTAAACACTACTGTCATCTACACTTCCTATGTCGTATGTGGTAAAATGACTTACCTGTAGGTGAATTTATTACAATCCTTTGGAACAGAAGATTAATGCCGGTGGAATTTACACTCAAGTCCCTAAAAAAAATATTTCGTACTTCAGAACCATTATCTGCGGGAAGAAAATAAACCTTACGTGATATCTAGGCCGTGAGATTCTGGTATGTACTTCATTAATATGTACAGGAAATTGTCGTAGTTTTGGTAGTCAAAGCTGTAGTAATCGTCTACGTAGAGCGTACCACTAGCAGCAGAATCCTGAAAAATTTATTCATTTTAAAATAAACCAGGATGAATATTGGAGCTTGATAGCCCATTATTTATTTGCTACAATTCTGAAGATCCGTCTAATATTTAATTGACGAAATATTAAATATTTCATGGGTGTTAAAATTTCAATAGGATGACATAAAAATTTGTGATGGTATCAGGTGTCGCAAAATTCACGAAAGATTAACATTTTTCGCCATTTGTGCGGTAAAGTGATGTCAACGAAAAAAAAAACCAGCGTGATAGCTGACAGTTTAGGGTTATTAAAAATGGAGTGTGCTACACGAAAGAACAACACGATTTCATTGTTCATCGATAAAATTGTCTCATTAGGTGATAGGAAAATCCACGAGTGATTTTTGAGAAACAAATGCATCTACGACTTAAAAATCAATAAAAAATGTACAGTTTTTTTATTAAAAGCCTGTGTTTTCTATCAAGTTACATCTTGCGTGAATTTTGGCACACCCTTTAGATAATTGACCTACCGCATCTAAATTAACATATACAGTGAAGGGATCGTCAACCATGTCTGTCGTCGATCCCTTTTCTCTGTCCTTCCTGGAAATTATACTACCTCCTCTATAAAAGAATGGTGACTGAAAATAAAAAAAGTAAATATTAAAAAAACGTTATCTTAGCACCAATTTGAGCTCGATAATCAATTCTGTCCAAAATAAAATGCATCTTTATTTACCGCAGAAATGTCCACATCGATTTCTAATTCCGTTCCCGCAGAATACGACGTCCAAGATTCATCGTCAACTCGGTACCAAAGGGCAGGCTCTTCCCCTGGTAGTGTGACTGTGACTTTGGTGGCGCTCTCTTCGAATACGGGTCTAGCCAAGATGTCAGTACCTAAAAAACGATGCCTTTACTAGATATTTAACAATGCGGAAAAAAATCGGAAAAGTTGGAAAAAAACGGTTTTCTTTTTTCGGTCTTTCCGAAGCAAAATATTGGAAAAATTGGAGAAACTCGAAATGAAAACACTTGAAAATTAGTTAGAAACTTAACGTATTTTAACAAATGCCCTCAGATTTCAAATTGGTAGATATCAAGCACAAGTTAACAAAAGAAATATAATAAAAAATATTTAAACAATAAAAATAAACAAATTTTTAGTTCTTTATAACCAAAAAAAAAACATATAAAGTATTTATTTTACCAAATTAAAAAACTGAGCTCAAAAAAAATTGTAAATTCATTTAAAGGATTCATTCTAGTTTTTGGCAGAGCGTATGCCACCTGAAAAGCATGGACTTTTTTTTCATCCGAATATCGAGAAGTTTTCCCAAATTTTATCGGTTTTTATTTGGGAAGTCACTTGCTGCAGCGTTTATTCAGCAGTTTTGGATGGAGAACCGCTGATCAGGGCCGTAATAAGAATTGTTTGGATTTAAAATAAAAATAAATTAATACTATTGGAACTTAACAAAATATCCCACATTTACAAAAAATGTATTTTTAAATTTTGGGTAATTAAAATAATAATTTTCTCCTAAACCATAAATCTCACGGTTGCCTTTTTATCCAGTCAAGTAAAAGTTACATACTAGGAGATTTTTTTTAAATCCTTAAATGAGTGTTTCCCATTTGCTGCAAAAATACTTTGTTAAATATTTTCTTTGGAAGATCCTGGCAAAAATTTGGGATATACTGAAAAGAAAAATCTGGAAAAATTTTTAGATTTACCTGGAAAATCTGTACTATACATCAGGGAATTTTTTGGTCCAAATTTGGTCCAACATATTCATAATCTTTATTAGCTAGGAGCGGAAATGGTCTGATATATTTTTTTTTAATTAAAATAATGTCTAAAAGTTATTTTGTATATTGTTTATGCTGGCAAACATAATGGCTAGAATCTTACCTTTAATTTTTCCCTTTTTTCCCAATTTAGACCGATCGAAATAACTCATTTAGAGGCAAAAAAAGAGAAAAATGTTACCTGGACTTTTATAATAAACGTAAAAAAAAATGAAAAACCTAAGGGTGGTGAAGGGTTGATTAGGGCGGTTTAAAAGTGGTGAAGAATAATATTATTGCAATTATCGGCGAAAGTTGACGTCAAAAAAAGTATCCAATACAAAAGCTGTAGATCATGCAAACTTTTGTAGAGGTCACTTTTAAACATAACCTCAAAATTTCCGAGAAAAATGCGAAAAATCGTATTTTCTTTTGTTTTTTATTTATTATTTTTCATTTCCGCAAAAACACTTTAATTTTGACGAAACTTGGTGTAAGTATACCTTTCTGTGTTTTAAATAACCACACATTTTTTTAGAAAAAAAATTCAAGAAGTTTCCGAATTATTCATTTTTTCCGGTCCGAAGCTCTATTTTTTCAAACAAAAATTATACTTTGAAAAATCATGCAGGGTTCTGCGATGCTCATTTTGTTTTTGTTTTGACATTGGTAAAATAAAAAAACTGTATAATTATAATTCATATAATCACAATTTAGAAATATGTATGTTTAAAAATGCAAAAAACGACTTGCAACAATGAATCTTTCAGTAATTCTTGAAAATTTGTTCAAATTTTTAAATAAATTGGAAAACTGATTACACCATTCATTTGTACGGAGAAAAAATCAAAGAAATTGTTTCATAGTTTGAGCCAAAACTTTATTTTTGTACAGTATTGCTAAGTTGAATAATTTTGTGTACCGAGCAAGATGACCCATACTGTTAATCTGTAATGCAAACAAGTAAAGGAGACAGTTAAAGGAAACAGTTAAAGTGAAAAACCATTCAGAAATTTCTTTTGTTTCTTAGATAAAAATTGAAAAATTTCGAAAACCATAAAAGTTGTTTAAAATAAAAAAAGATTTTTTTATTATCAATTCATTTACAGGAGCAAATTAAGACTTACCAGTCCAAATTTCACGTCAAAACATTAAATACAGTTTCTTTTGTATTTTTTTCCGTACAATTGAATGGTGTAATCAGTTTTTCAATTTTTTAAAAAATTTAAACAAATTCTCAACACTCAAAAATTCATTGTTGCAAGAGTATTTTTTTTTTAGTACGTTTTTGAATTGTGATTATGTTTTAAGAACTCTGTACGATGATATTTGTAAGTAGAATTTTTGTTTGAAAAAAGTGTTTCGGACGGGAAAAACCGAACATTTCGAAAACTTCTTGATTTTTTTATCTAAAAAAAATTGTGGTTTAAGACAGAAAAGTATACTTTTACGAATTTTCGTCAAAATTAAATTATTTGTGCAGAAATGAAAAATAAAAAACGAAAAGCAAAGGAAAAACGATTTTTCGCATATTCTTCGGAAATTTTGAGGTTATGTTAAAAAGTGACCTCTACAAAAGTTGTAGATTTTTACATGATCTACAACTTTTGTATTTTTTGACGTCAACTTTCGCCAATAATAGGAATAATACGATTCTTCACCACTTTTCAACCCCCCCAATCAACCTTCCACCACCCTCGCTCACACATTTATTTTTTTATGTTTATTACAAGCCCCTTTCTACATCCAGGTAACATATTTTTTCTCTAAGTGTAATTTGGTTGGACTAATTTTTCTAGGAAAAAAAATCCTAAAACCAATCTATTTAGAAATTTTGAATTTCAAACTCAACCTACCTACATCTTTACGGGTCTATTAACAATTTGGTTTTCTGATACTTTTTCCATAATTTCTATACCTCTAAGTATAAAATTTACCATTATTTCTCACCTAAAAGAAGATGGTCGTCATACGTGAGCATCGAAGGATAGTGGTAGAAGAACGGTCTGATTATAGGCTCTCCAGTCAACGTGTATTCGAAGAAGAGAGTATAGAAGACCGGTATGTGCTTGTATCGCAGCTTGAGAGCGTTCCTTATGACCACCTGAGCGTCCTCCGAGAACAAGTAAGGCTCACGCCTGGCCGTGGTCTTTTCGGAGTGACCTCTGAAGAAAGGTAGCCAAATGGCGGCTTGGTACCACCTCTGGGATAGTTCCTCGTCAGCGGACGTCCTGTTGTCGAAGAAACCGGCCACGTCGGCACCGCAAATCACCATTCCCAGGAGATTCGCAGTCAGACACTCCGAGTAAGAAAGGCGGATATAAGGCCATTCGGCTGTGTTGTCGCCTGTCCACATGACGGCGTACCTCTGGCTTCCAGCGAAGTGGGACCTTGTGAGGATGAACGGACGCACCGTGCTGTTGTCCCTAATCAAGAGTCCTTTATGCGTGGATCTCGTCTAAAAAAAAGGGATGGTCATGGATTCATATGCAGAATAATATGAACACAAAATATCACATCCACAATGTATGATAAAGGCTTTCGGCTGTGTTTCACATGATTTTCTCATAAGAAAATTATCTGTTTATGGCATTATACAGGGTGGGCCACCAGTAACGCCTCGGTCGCTAGGGACCAAACGGCAAATGTTACAGAAACCTGTTTAGGTGGGTATGTGTAGGTTGATTACGGTTACATTTTAAAAATATTTTGAAATATACAGGGTGTACAGGAAAAGCGTACCATATCAAAGTTATGTATTTTTAAATGGAACATCCCGTATTTTACTGCATTTTTGAAAGCACCGTAAAAAAATAGGGGTGAACTTTATTAGAGGTTTCCTAACTCCCAAAGTAGTAGACCTTCCAAAGCTACTTCCTTAAAATTATTTTTTTATTGCTAATATTAAATTTCTACGCTATGCCTGCATTTTCACTAAAATTGAAATATCTCACAAACTGTAAGTCTTAGGTATGCAGAACCTCTAATAAGGTTCACCTATTTTTTTACGGTGCTTTCAAAAATGCAGTAAAATACAGGATGTTCCATTTAAAAATACATAACTTTGATATGGTACGCTTTCCTGGACACTCTGTATATTTCAAAATATTTTTAAAATGTAGCCGTAATCAACCTACACATACCCACCTAAACAGGTTTCTGTAACATTTGCCGTTTGGACCCTAGCGACCGAGGCGTTACTGGTGGCCCACCCTGTATATGGTAATACTGTAAAATTAATTTAATCTACCTAAATAATCATAGACAAGTGTTCATTTTAGTAACTCTTATTGATATTATGAATATGTACATCACGGAGTTCCACAGGGCTCCGTATTGGGGCCATTGCTTTTCATTGTATATGTTCTGGTGTGTTCCCATTTCTAATGTACTTTAGTAATCTATGTCTTTATTTTCCCATGAAATAATTGAAAGAGTACATGCATGGTTTTCAGCAAACAAGGTCCATATTGAAAATTTCATAATTAAACTGTCTAGTTTGAGATACCACTCGATTCATTCACAAAAAAATCTATACGTTACTGACCATTTTAAAATTCCACGTTATGGGCTTACTAAGTCAAAGAAAAATTCGTAATTTCGGTTTATACAGGGTGTTATTTAAGTACGTGGCCAAAATTTACGGGATAATTTTTTAAGTGATTTTTAGACGAAAAGTTTATATAAACCTAGGTCCGGTAATGCTTCCTTTTCAAAATACAGGGTGTCAAACTTTTTTGAAATTCCGTTTTTTCGTAAAAATCTTGATTCTTTAGACGATTTTGATGAAATTTGACATACAGGTTAAAAAAAATTCTAAATAACAAGAAGACGCAAACTAATATGACGTTGAGACATGGTGACAGTTTTTTATGTAATACAAATAAATCTTTTAAGCTAAAAATTGCTTGTCTCGTATTGCCAGTGGCGTGCACAGGGGTAACGCCGGAAATCAAACAAGAGAAACGTTTTATTAAAACCACATTTAAACAAATGGTACGCAATTTTTTTTAGTAAAAAAAAAAACATTTAACAATAAGAAACACGAATCTTACAATAGTTGGTGAAAATGTCCTCCTTCAATTTCAGTGCAAGCAATAGCTTGTCTTAAATATTCCCGGTGCATCTTATCTGATTACATGAAGGAAAAAATATAATGGATTTAAATCCGGTGACCTGGATGGCCAGGTCTTTTAATTTTTATAACAATTTTTAAGACTATAGTAGGATCGTATTCGATGCAAAGTAGAGCAAAAAGTTGTCGGTCTTTTATCAAAGGCAAATCGTGTCATCATTTTTAGGAGGCGTAAAATAAATCATTCAAATTTAAAATGAAATTCAATGTAAAATCTGAAATACCGCTGCATACGCACTGTGTTCTGGTAGTAGCTGTAGTCGCCCAGGTGCATTGAGTGTACGAACTGGTCGGTTATACGTCAAATACTAACCTGGCGAGCTTTGCCGTGAATTAGAGAGCGCTTCTAAAAAACAAGTAAACAACAGTGGCGCGTACAGAGGTAACATGTAGTACATATGTGGAATTTAGGAAACAAATTGGATTTATAATAAATTACATTTAAAATAAATATTTTATGAGAATAAAGGAATTTTTGTAGGAACAAGGGTGCCAGACCTGAACTAATCCCCTCGTCCCTTCATAATGTATAAAGAAATTATTCAATTTGTAAAACCCTTAAAAGCGTATTTCATTGGTTCCCTGACAGGCAATGATTTATTACATTGCATCGAATATGATCCTACTATAGAATAGACTATTGGTATGGAAAAAAAATAACAGGTTCATCCCAGTTTTTGATAGTTTTAATTTTTTGTTATGTTTTCCTAGGAACATGCAAGTGATTTTTATTTTTTTTCCAAAAAGGAAGCAAGATACGAAACAATTAATGCGACAAAAAAGTTGTAGTTTTAGTTGCTTAATGCGAAAAAAATTATAAAAGGTTTTAAAAAGTCAGTGGCACATACTTTTTTTTGTCAAAAATATTGATAAAGGTGCCCCCTTGACGCCACTGGACTTAATAATTTTAATCTAGTTAGGGCTAAATTAGCCCCTTTCTACCATAAATAATACTACTAAATTTCAACAAAATCAGCTAAAGGATTATTAAGAATTTTACAAAAAAACGATTTTTTAAAATCTTGAAATCATAGGACCTATGTTTATATAAACTTCTTAGAATCACTCAAAGAATCATCCCCTGAATTTGGCCAAGTACTTAAATAACACCCTGTATAGCCAACCAGCATAAAAACTTTGAATGTTTTTAGTTTTAAGAACAAAAAATTGTTTTTACTAATATGCTGTTTCTACTCAGTTGATGAAGTTTTATATATTTCTATGTATACGTACTGAAATATTTAGAGAGGTTTACAACGCACGGTGTAACGTCACAATCCTCGCGCGGGAAGAGCTTGCGTTTTAAAATGTTTTTGTGGTAACCAAAACATTCACAATAAATATACAAATAATGAACAATGATGATTCAAAGCTAAAACATACTTTAGTACTGATATTTTTTTTGCAAAATGTTAATAAAAAGTGGTAGGTACAGAATGATATTTTGGATATTGTAGAATAACGTGATATAATTAGATTTAGGATAAAAATTGACTAGTATAACTTTTCAATATTTGGCTCCGAAAAAAAAAATCGTAGCAGAATAGGTTTTAAAGAAGTCGTACTTTCCAAAATATGTGCCTTTTTAAGGATTTATAAAAAAATATTTAACTTCCATTTGTCTTTTACATGCCGTTTGCGTTTACCTGTAAAAATCCATACATATTGTGTATGTTCCTGTGTTCCACAGTGCCATTATGAAGAACTTCAAAAGGTAACGTTTTCTCCAAGTTATTGTCGAATACCGAAGGTTCGTTCATATCATTCCAAGCCCCTGCCAGAGTGGGGGTACTCTTGTTGAACCGATCGTAACGATACCAACTGCCATAATAATCACTGGCTTCTTCGTTCAAGAAATCTATCCAACTCGCAAGACCCGGCCAGCAGATACCTAAAGAAAATGAACTTGTAAAACGGGTATATCACGCGTTTGGTGATTGTACCTTCAAAATTTGAGCCGTTAGCCCATTTTACGAAATATTTTTCCTTGGCTCCGGTATATACTGCGTAATCGTCAGCTACCTTTATATGAGGATCCAGAATAGTGACGATTCTTCGTCCGGTCGAGGAGATATTCTGCTGCATTTCGATGGGGTCCGAGTAGTTCTCAGGATTCCATTCGAAGTATCTGTTCTTGTTGCTGTGACCGTCGTCCAACCACAGCACGTCCATGGGGAAGTCGTACTTGTCCATATTCGCGACAACGCTTTTGGCGTCTTCTTGTGTCCAGTACGACCAACGGCATTGGTGGTAACCCAAAACCCATATCTAAAAGCAATAGGTTTTATCAAGTCTTTCAGATTGCTCGGAGAAATGTGGTCATTTCTTGCCTGGGGCATATGCGCGACTCCAGTCAGTGTTGTGTACTGCCTAACGACACTTTTCGGATTTGGACCGAGCAAAACGAAAAGATCCAAGGTGGCACTCTCTACCATGAAGTACGCGGAAGCTTTGTCGTCTTCGTAACCAATATCGATCCACTGTTCAGCCGCGTTATGCAGAAATACGCCGGACGTCCAGTTTACGCTAATATACAAAAAGGGAAATGAATATCTATGCTTTTATCAAATCAATAATGTTATACCTACTTCTAATAATACAGGGTGTCCCTGAAAAGGATGGACAACGCTTGATCACAGGTTCCTTGGATGTAAATAAGACTATTTAGCTTAACTTACCAATATACAAAAATGCACGCCTACTGAGATATAGACTTCTAAAATATAGAAGAGATAACCTAGTTTTTTTCAAATAATTTGAAAACTGTTTTTCTTAAAAACTTCAAATTTGGTATACATATTTTTTTTATATAAGGGCCATGTAAATATATAATTTGGTGAGAATACATATACAGGATGTTCTCTTTTTACTGCCTGTGCGTCACTGGCTATCCCGAAACTTTGTGTGTACGCTAATGACGACAGAATTTTTATTTTTAAAAATAAGCTCTATTTTAGAAGATTTTTTGCCTCTTACAAAATTTTGATATCGTTTACGGATTTCGAGTAAAATTGGCATTTTTTACACATTAAATAATATTAAATCAGTTTAAGATAACTAGAACAGTCTAGTACGAGGTGCCATATAACAAAGAAACAAATTCATAACAATAATTAAAAGGTGTGATTTAATTTTATCTTAGTTTGTTTTTTACTGCAATTTATACTTTTGCTGAACAAACTATGTTATTAGTTTTGGGTTATTGTGAAGGAAATTGTTGTGCTACTGAACATATGCTGAAAGATTTCTTAATCGAAGAATTCCAAATCACAAAACATTTGCTAATGCGGAGAAACGCCTTCGGGAAATAAGACGTTTTTTACCTGTAACATTAAATCGTGGATAACGTACGGCCGGAACTATTCAAGCTGGAGGAACAAATTTTGAAAAGGGTCGACAAAATTCCTCAAGTAAATACAAGGCATTTAGCGGCAGAAAAGTTCCATTAATAGAGTATTAAAAGACCAATTATTACAGGTTACTACCCTAACAAGTGGATAGGTAGAGGAAATAATGCCCCTTTAAAATGGCCACCTGGATCCCTGGATCTAAACCCATGTGATTATTTCCTTTCGGGAGCGTTGAAGACTACAGTTTATAACTTTTCAGTAAATACAGAAAACGAACAATGGGAAAGAATACAACGAAATGAAATGTTATGAGAGATAATGCACAATTATTGGATAAAATTCATTTTAATTTTCAAAGAAATACTTGTGTTTAAGAACTTTGAGCATTTACTGTAATATTATTTTAATGCGCTTACAAATATCAATTTAAGTTTATTTAAAATGTTAATGTTGACTTTCTTACACTATTAGTTGATATTGTTTATTTAAAATATTAGTGTTGATTTTTATTTTATTGATTGATAATACTAAGATTAAAAATGTGGTTATTTTTTTTAATGTGACGTTTTTTTATTATTATTCTCTGCTTTGAGGCTGCAGTTATAAATTATTTTTTGCAAATCGGAATTTTTGCCTGTATTTAATGTCTAAAAAATGCCAATTTTACTACTCCATAAACATATCAAAATTTTGTAAGAGCAAAAAATCTTCTTGAATAGTGCTTATTTTTTAAAATATAAATTCTAGCCTCACTGGCGTACACACAAAAAAATTACGGGATAGCCAGTGGCGCACAGGCACTAAAAAGAGAACATCCTGTACCTATATGTATTTTCACCAAATTTTTTATTTACGTTGCGCTTATATAAAAAAATAAGTACCAAATTTGAAGTTTCTAAGAAAATTAGTTTATCTATTCTAGATTTAGAAGGCTATATCTCAGTAGGCGTGCACTTTTGTATATAGGTAAGTTAGGCTAGTCTTATTTTCATCCAAGGAACCTGTGGTCCAGCGTTGTCCATCCTTTTCAGGGACCCCCTGTATAAAAAAATCACATACACGCTTCCTTAATTAACACATAGTAAAGATAGAAGAAAAATTAATAAAGAATTATTACGCGAAACGTAGGCCGACCTTGTATCGCCCCACTTAGTTAATTGATCGGAATTGAACAGTTTACAATGCAATAACTAAGTCAAGTTCAGTGTGATTATTTGCAGGTATCTTACTCTCGTTTTCTGATTTATGTTGATTTATTCCAAAATTTTTGGTGATGTCTAGTTTTAAAAGAAAAATAATGAAAACAAATTTTTCACTTTGACACCCTATATCTTTTCAAGTATCAACTTTTGGACTGGGGTAAGTTTAGTTAAATCGTAATATTTTAGTGCGTATAATATAACTTACGAATGACCATAGATGACCGGGACGGATCCGTATAGCCCCAAGGTGTCGTTGATTTCGTAGTAAGATATGTCGGCGTTCCTCAGTCGGATGGGATCCATGGAACCGTCAGCAGTTTCCGGAAGTCCCAAGTTGAAAGCGTGATGGGACAAACCGTAGAGCATTTGGGCAGATAAGAAGGTTACTCCGAAAGTAAATGGATGGCTGGTTTCGCTCTAAAATAGTCAGTTATATTTTTAGTTTTGGGGTAACTTGTAATAGCAAGTTGTTCGCTTACATTTCTCATAACTAGACGCTCGCTTGTAAAAACAACTTCCTGGTTATCTCCATAATAAAATTCAACGGTAAATGGTGGCCCGCTTTTCACGACCACATGGTAATCGTTATAATCATTTGCGTCTGGAGTAAAGGTGGCGCTGGTATCGTCGGTTTTGACGCTGAAACTGAAGCACACGGGATATTTATTTATTTATTTAGAAATGACAATATCCAACGTAAGAGAAAAACCTTAACTAAACTTAAAAAAAAGATAAGTAACATTAAATATAAAAATATAAGTATGTACTACACAAAATAGAAAAATCAAAATATAAAATCGAGATAAAAGAATTTACGTGAGTATAAATAATAGCAAACAAATAAAACAAATGAGCTAATTAACACGTACAAGATAAGGATAACATTTGCTAGACAAACAGAGACTATTAAAATTAAAAAAAAAATAATAATTTTTGAGGAGGAGGATAAAACCCATAACTAATAAAATAAATAGTCTAAAAATCTCCATTGCACTAACATGGTCGTTATCAAATGTAACACCAAGGCCAGTAAATTGCGTAACTCTATTTAGAAAAGATTCACCATTTTATAACCAAAATCTAGACTAGTTTTGCGACGACTGTAGGCCATAATTTTACACCTGCTTACATTCAAAAGTAGATGATTATTTGAACACCAACTATGTATGTATGTTAAGATTATCTTGCAATCTAGTACAATCAGTAATCAGTAGAAGATTTAACTTCCAAGAACCACTTAAGGTCGTCCGCACAGAGTAAATAATTTATATCGAGGCATTCAGTTAAGTCATTAATAAAAATAACGAATAGCAATGGCCCCACGATTGACCCTTGCGGAACTCCTGAAGATTGGTACGATACCGCACAAACTGGTATTTATTACTACAATAAGATTTAAAAGAGATAACAAAGCAGGGGAGATATATGACCATATGATTCTAATTTTAATAAAAAAATTAGTGGTTTCCATTTAAAAGTTTCAAGTTTTCCACATTTTCTGAACTTCATATTCGATAAATTTTTTTTGACCACCCTGTGTAAAAACTGTATAATTTTCATGTCAAATTCGATAAATTAGGTCTTCCTCTACAAAATGTCTAATTTGCACAAAAAATTAACCTATGTTTCCGGGAAAACTAAATTTGCTGACAGTCTGCACCTGTCAATTTTTGCTTAAAAATTAAAATATCTAGGAAACAGTCGATCCTAAGTATGAAGTGTGCTATATATTTTCAACTTAAAAATAGATTCTCTTTCCAAAAATGCAATAATATACAGGGGGTTCCATTTAAAATAAGAAAGTTAGTATCGACTTATGTATAACCGGAAGTACGATGACCTTGAAAATATTTTAGCTTGGTAGGCCTCATGGTCTGCATCACACCTTCACAATTTCAAAGATATCCATCGATGGAATTCGTGGTGGGACACCCTGTATTTATAATATATATATATAATATAAATTGTTTTATATTTGCTAACTTAAAATAAAAGTGTAGAT